TGGGTAACAAGAACGAAACTCTGTCTGGAAAAAAAAAAAAAAAAAAAAGTTCACCTTTGTGCTATTTATCTAAGCTTTTATATTAATACAACTGAAATCCTTCATACTTAAAAAAAAAAAATTCCAGAAGTCTGAGAGTAGGCAAAACAAGCAACAGCTAATTTATAAAATAATTGAACCTATTTGGGTCTCAGAGGTATTTAACTACTGGCCTAATAAAATTTCCATCACTGTAATACTTAAATACCATGAAGTATCACTGGGTCCAGATAACCTCAAAGACATTTTTGTTTAAGAAGACATTCATCAAAGCAGATTAAAAATTAAGCAAACTAAATAATTCCTGGTGATCACTGTAACACTGACATAGATCAGTATTGATTTTTTTCAAACTGTATCTTCATTGCAGAAATTTAATATTAAGAAGTATCTTAAATCAGTACCTAAGCTAAAGATCCAAAGTAATCTCTCATTTCCTATTTGCTCCAATTTTTAAGTGTCAATCACCAAATCAAATCATCCCATGGATGATACACTATAACACAGTGAACACTATAATGGATGTGAAAAGACTTGGATTCTGCTTTTGCCCAACTTTAGCAACTTAGGCAGATAAATCACTTCACTTCTGGGACCTTCAGGTTTATCAAAAGTAAAACAAGATTAGATAATCTGACTCTAGCTCTTTTTTGTTTTGTTTTTTTGAGAGACAGTCTTGCTCTATCACCCAGTCTGAAGTGAGTGCAGTGGCACTATCATGGCTCACTGAAACCTCAACTTCCCAGGCTCAGCTTCCCAAGTAGCCGGGACCACAAGTAAATTCCACTAATTTTTTAACTTTTGTAAAGATGGGATCTCTCTGTTGTGCAGGTTGGTCTCAAACTCCTGGCCTCAAGTGGTCCTCTCACCTCAGCCTCCCAAAGTACTAGGATAATAGGCATGAGCCACTGTGCCCAGCCATTAACATTTTATTTTAACCAATTTTGTTTGTTTTTGAGATCATTGCTAAATAAAAGTAACAGCAGCACATATGGAAGAAGCAAGCTGTCTAAAGAACTCCATAGGAACATTTGCAGTGTTTCGTACAGTCTCAGACTTTCAAATGCAAAGAAAAAAAAATAGGTTGTATCTGAAGACTAGTGTAGTAATATTTTGACCACACAAGCTACTTGGGTAGGAAAAAAAATGGTAGAATAGTTTAAGTGTTCAAGGAAAAATGCCACCACAAGAAAATCAAAATAAAAAACAGATGCTCCACATCCAGTTATTACTACATTACAGAAGCTTTTCAATTTTTCAGTACTCTTAAGAAACGCTAATAGAAAAAGAAAAAATTTTTTAAATGTTTTCTTAACCATTTACATGTATACATGTATTTTTTGCATCCTCAAACATGAAAAGAACCAAATATAAGACAATCTAGAGACTGAATTATTTGTGAATATAAACTGATCTGCTCAATTATACTTTATAACTTTCTAGTATTTAGTAGTGTGCCAGAACATAAAAAGCACCTCATACTGGTTGAATAAGTGAGTAAACAAAAATACACGAATCTCTACTCTACAAATAAGACTATACATAATAAATTCTGATCAGCCTTTACTTAGTTTTGTATCATAGTCTAGTAAAATCCAATATCCGAAGTAAAAGAACAGATGGAACTAAATATGCAAGAGTTCCATCATTCTCAGGCATCAATAAGAATTTGAAATTACAACTAAGCTAGATCACAGAATACAATTAAAACCAAATAACCAAAACATATTTTTTAAAAAACAAATAGCCTGACATTCACCTACATCAATCCCCAGTCTACCCAAAGGCCTTTGCCTTCTACAGCAGATAGCAAAGGTAAGAAAATCTCACCAATTCTTAACATAATTTTTTTAATGCTTTTAAGGCTGGATGCAGTGGCTCACCCCTATCATCCTAGCACTTTGGGAGGCTGAAACAGGCAGATCGCTTGAGCCCAGGAGTTCAAGACCAGCCTAGGCAACATGGTTAAACCCTGCCTCTACAAAAAATAAAAAATTAGCCAGGCATGGTGGACTGCGCCTGTAGTCTCGTGACTTGCGAGGCTGAGGTGGAAGGATCACCTGAATCGGGGAAGTCAAGGCTTCAGTGAGCCACTGTATTTCAGCCTGGGCAAGAGACCCTGCCTAAAAAAAAAAAAAAAAAAAAAAAAAAAGCTTTAAGAAAGTTACTGACTAGGCCGGGCGCAGTGGCTCAAGCCTGTAATCCCAGCAGTTTGGGAGGCCGAGGTGGGTGGATCACAAGGTCAAGAGATCAAGACCATCCTGGTCAACATGGTGGAACCCCGTCTCTACTAAAACTACAAAAAATTAGCTGGGCATGGCGCATGCCCGTAATCCCAGCTACTCAGGAGGCTGAGGCAGGAGAACTGCTTGAATCCAGGAGACGGAGGTTGCGGTGAGCCGAGATTGTGCCATTGCACTCCAGCCTGGGTAACAAGAGCGAAACTCCGTCTCAAAAAAAAAAAAAAAAAAAGTTACTAACTTGCCTATACATTAATTTCATTATTTTTTTGATTAAGACAAATTTTACTGTTTTTTAAATTCAGCAAGCTATTCAATTAAAAATACGCCAGGCGCAGTGGCTCATGCCTGTAATCCCAGCACTTTGGGAGGCTGAGGCAGGCGGATCACGAGGTCAGGAGTTCGAGACCAGCCTGGCCAACATGGTGAAACCCTGTCTCTACCAAAAATACAAAAATTAGCTGGAGGTGGTGGCGGCATGCACCTGTAATCCCAGCTAATCAGGAGGCTGAGGCAGGAGAATCATTTGAACCTGGGAGGTGGAGGTAGCAGTGAGAGCCACTGTACTCCAGCCTGGGTAACAGGGCGAGATTTCGTCTCAAAATATATATATATCTATTTTGAGATGGAATATATGTATATATATTCATCTAGAGGCCATGGAAAGAATCACAGCTATATAGATATGTTACAGCAGATAACAGGTATATTCTGATAAAATGTAATGTGAATACGTTGTTCTAATTAGAATCCTATGTTTATTCATTCAACAAAAATTAGCAGTGTCAATCTCTCTCTCTGTCTCTCTCTCCTCCACCCTCTCTCCTCCCTTTCCCCTCCCCCTCCACCACCACATGGTTCCTTAAACATAAAGATAAAATTAGAGAAGGGCCTATCCTGCTCTCAACAGATAAAATAGGTACATAAATACCTACAAGATACGAAGCGTAAATGCCACAAGAGATATGCAGAAAAAGCATTACAGGAGCCCAGAGGGAGCTGTTACCACCTCACAGATACATAACCCCTTCAATCTGTTTAAAACAATTTGCTAACTATTAACTCCCTTTAGGCTCACAACAGCCAACTCTAGGAGAACAGATGTTTACCTAATATTAAAGATGAGGAAACTGAAGCACAGAAAGGTTGATCATGTTCCAAAATGTCACATTGTTACAGGAAGAATCAAGTGTCTTTGTATTATATTTTCTCCAAGCTGGGGGAGTAGTTCAACATATGGCAAGTCTTGTAAACGGAAAGAGTATTTTAGTATTGTAAGTAATCAGTTCCTAGTGTATTTTATACATAGCTATATCCACATATACAATTAATCTTGATTTCCATTAACAGGTGTGCTCAAAGCAAGGCCGAGCAACTGGGTACTATAAATATTAAAATAAATAAATAAACTTCCACCGGATGTTAACAGAATGAGAAAATAAGATACAGGATTTCTCTCTCCAGTAACTTGTGGTTACTTCTGTAATTGTTACCCATGTCTAAATAACATTCTAAAATTGGTCTGCTCCTGAGCCCGGGCAAGTACAGGTTGGTTCATCCAATAAATATCTTCATGAAAAGGTACATAAAACATTTCAAAAAGCTATTAAAAATTAAACAATGCCATCAACTCTTCAGTTATCCACAGGACAATCACATGTGACCCAGCATCCGCAGCTATTTATCAACGTATGTTGAACGAATGAATGAATGTTTGCAGGCATTTTTAAGTCCTGGGCCTGTTGCTCCTTGCACACTGCCATGTTCAGCCTTCCATCATTGCCTCAGCGGAGTGCACACAAGGAATGTAAATTTCAATATAATTAGGATATAATTAGAGAAGTAAATCTAATGCAGGTTTACATACTAATCCCAAAGATTAGAATTACCTATACCACTACTCTCCAAGGTTAACTCTGTTGAAGAGGCACCGCGACACGCAACATCACATAAAGAAAACTGACACTTCCTGAGCAAATAGTTTTCGTCCATATCACTTATTCCCATCTATTCCTTTAATACATGACTACTCCTGATCCAGTTAATTTGAATAATTCAGTCTCCTCTCCATAAAGGCTGATTTTCAACTACAGTTTCTCACATTCCTCTCTACCCAAAAAGGGGTGCACTCACGGACTTCGCACAAGAAAACACCAACAATAAACGGCAGAGGGTATAGGGGTCGGATCTTTGCCATCTCCCCCAGTACCTAACCTTCGCCATTACACCCTGAAGCGGTCTGTTAGAAAGGTGAACTAATTTACTCTGCACGCACTTGCCACGGCTGTCACCCTCCCTAGCCCCTTCCACACTCCCAAGTCGGCCACCAACTCCGCCTCAGTGAGCCCAGGCCCGCCACCTGCGCCGGCCCCACCCGGGGCCCCCGGCCGCCGGCTCCTCCTCGGGAGCCCTGCAAGGCTCCGCACGCCCCTCCGCACAGGACACCTCGGGGCCGGCTCCGGCCCGGCCACAGCCCATTCTTCCTCCAAACTCCATAAGCCTCGGATAGCCCAGCCAGAGCTCCCCGCCGCGCCCGGCTCTCCCCTGCGCGGCCGAGGGGAAGAGGCTGGCGGCCAGGACAGGTCCCGACCTGGCCAGGCCTGCGACACCCCCAGCACGGCGGGGAAGCAGTCCCAGGGGCTTCTGCCCCGGGAGCCCTCGGAAGCCCCCGGACTAGCAGGAGCCCGGAGGCCGGGGTTGCAGGCTCCAGGGCCTACTCACTGGGAGCTGGCGGAGCGTGGGAGCCGACGTGCGCCCCGGCCTGAGAAGTGGGACGCAGCCCCAGCGCGCGGCCCTACGCCGGTACCTCGCTCGGCGCTGCGAGCCGGGCGCTCACTCCAGCCGCCACCGCCGCCGCTGTTGCTGCTTCCCCACCTTGGCCGCCATCTTGACTCAACCCCTCTCCCTCCCCCCCAGCCCCGGCAGCCGCGGCTAAGGCGGCTCCGGTGCGGGCTCCTCCTCCTTCCGGAGAGTTGGGAGACCGACTCCCTCCGCTGGCGGGGCGCCTCTCCTACCTCGGCGGAGCTTCCTGGGTCGCGCCGCGCCGGGTCCCCTCACGTCTCCTCTAGGCCTGGCAGCGGCGGTCCTCTCGGACGGAGACGGGGCCGAGCAGCGCCCAGCCAGATTGAGGGCGGCTGCCATCGTGCCCCAGGCCTGTGCGCAACTGTTCCCGCGTGCCCGAGGCCTTCCCCGGGCGTGGGAAAAGGAAAAACGCCAGGCCGTGCCAGGGACCCTGCAGCCCCTCCGCGGCGTGGCGGGACGGCGGTGGCCTCCTTTGGCAGGAGCTGCAGAGAGAGAAGCCGGGTCCCCCTCGTGGCTGGGAGCCAGAGGGGTGCGTTTCGACCTGCCCAAGATACTTTATAGGGCTCTGGCCGGAATTCGCACCAAGTCCTCGCTGAAATCCCGGACGAGGCCAATTTGTCCCAGATGTTGCTTCTTAACCATAAATAACCAGCAAGAGGAGTCTGTGGCCCTCGTGACTGTGAAGTGCATTCTTAGCTTCACTCTGCTGGGGGAAATGACTGGATGGTTCCTTGTAACCGCACACATACTTACCTTGAGAAAGGCCAGGCCCGACAGGGCACCATGGTGGCTCACGCCTGTAATCCCAGCACTTTGGGAGGCTGAGGCGGGCTGATCACCTGAGGTCAGGAGTTCGAGACCAGCCTGGCCAATATGGAGAAACTCCTGTGATAACCTGTTTTTTGTTAGCTTAAACTGACTCTTACCTGAGAGCTGTTCAGGCTTCTTGAGCTGGACAGACTCCTATCTTAGCTTCCTCATTTTAGTTATTCCCCTGTTTAAGTATGTAACCGTCGTATGTAGCTGGGGCAGGATAATACTGGGCACATCCTGGAATGCATTTGCTAATAAGAGGCCGAGTTAAGCCGTAGCAGCAAAGCCTGGGAAAGCAGGTGCTTTCAAGTACCCAGAGCCCCCGTACGTGTAAATTACGTCTTTTTATAACAGCTTTAGCCCTTGCACCTGGTACTGTTTTATTTCTCACGTACTAGTTTATCTTTTAACTTTTTGCTTATTCTGCTTCTGTGAAAAAATTGCTTCAGCTAATTTCCCCCCTCCCTTTTCAAACTAGGGTATAAAAAAATCCCCCAATTCTTTTGGGCGTTAGCCACCTCCCGGTTGCCGGCTAAAATAAAGGACTCATAATTCAGTCTCAGAGTGTGGCACATTCCTTAACTCGCTCGGGTATAGTACTCCGTCTCTACTAAAAATACAAAAATTAACCGGGCGTGGCGCCTGTAATCTTAGGTACGGGGCGGCGGGGGGCGGGGGGAGGGGGTCTAAAGTGGGAGAATTGCTTGAACACACGGGAGGCGGAGGTTGCAACAAGCCTAGAATAGGCCACTGCACTCCAGCCTGAGCGATAGAGCCAGACCCAGCCTCAAAGAAAGGGCCAGGCGCAGTGGCTTACGCCTGTAATCCCAGCACTTTGAGAGGCCGAGGCGCGGCAGATCAGGAGGTCAGGATTTGGAGACCAGCCTGGCCAATATGGTGAAACCCCATCTCTACTAAAAATATAAAAATTAGCTGGGGTATCGTAGCGCACGGCTGTAGTCCCAGCCACTCGGGAGGCTGAGGCAGAAATTGCTTGAACCCGGGAGGCAGAGGTTCCAAGTGAGCAGAGATCGCGCCACTGCGCTCCAGCCTGAGCTACAGAGCGAGACCTGTCTCAAATAAAAAGAAAAAAAAAAAAAAAAGGCCATCCAAAAGTGAGAAGGAAAAACAAAGCTGGTTTATCTGGCCGTTTTGGAAAACTGTCATCTGGATAACGGACTGTCTAACCCTGTAATTACGAGAAAAACCCAAGTTTTAAGAAATGAAGAAGAGGAACTCTTCCTACAAGAGATGGGAGTTTATATATAAGACGCTTCCCTTTAAACCGATTGTATAGTGTGGTAGGACTAGGATAGGAAACTGGACGGCAAGGAGACTTCTCCGTTAAATCACAAGAGAACCCCTAGCGTAAAGCCTCAAGCCTCCGGAGCCTGTCGGCGGAACGGACTTAACCACGGAACCCCACATTCTCGGGTGCAGTTTTCCAGCCGGAGGCAGGGTCAGAGGCAGCCTTTCCTACTGCGCAGGCGCGATGCTACCTACCGGTCGGGGAAGTAATGTGGCTACTGTGCGTGTCAGCGGCGGTCCTGGCATGGGGCTTCCTCTGGGTTTGGGACTCCTCAGAACGGATGAAGAGTCGGGAGCAGGGCGGACTGCTGGGAGCCGAAAGCCGGACTCTCCTGGTCATAGCGCACCCTGACGATGAAGCCATGTTTTTTGCTCCCACAGTGCTAGGTTTGGCCCGCCTAAGGCACCGGCTGTACCTGCTCTGCTTCTCTGCAGGTAGGAGGCCACAGGAGGGGCGATGGGAGCCGGGACTGTGACGGGGATTTAGGTGCTAATCGATCTCAGTCGCCTTCTTCACAAAGAGTGTCCTCTAGGGAGCTAAGTGAATACACGGAAAGTCTTACTCTGAACCTCTCACAGGCTGGGGACTGGAGCGGCCGGTTTATCAGGTGGGTTGGGGAACATCAGCAGCTCGCGTACTACGCAGGCAAGATAGAATAGCAGAGAAACAGTTGCAGTTTGTTACATTCAGTACCTGCATTTCCGTTGGAAATCGCACTGTACTTGTTATTTTGTGGAACTTCTTTTTATTTGTAGGAGCAAGAATATTGACCTTACTATAGTGTGTGAAACAGAATCTATGCTGTGTCTTGCCTGCTCAATCCTTAATTTCTGATGATAGCAAAAGACCTTCCTGCTGCTTTTAAAATGCAGCTTGTGCTAGTAAGATGCATGTGTCAGATTGAAGAAGTAGACTTAGATGATTAGGTAGAAAATAATTTCGTAGGTAATTTTAGAGTTCAACTCCACCCAGCTTTCGGCGAGGGAACCTTTCAAATAATAGATTTTTGCTTACCATAGAAAAAAGATCAAATGACAGAGCAATATTGACCATCATGCTAGAATATGGTGATAATTGAGCAGTTGTATAAATGAAGTAATTGAATTGTGCACATACAATGGGTGAATTTTGTGGTATGTAAAATTATACCTCAATAAAACTGTTTTTTTAAATTGCCCATGACCTCTTTTCCCATTTGCTTGTGTGTCTTTCCAATTCTTTTTCTATACAGCTTTTTCACAGAAATCACATTTTATAAAATTTTATATTAAACATTTATGTGCCAGGCCTTATTCTATGCCCTAGGGATACAAAAGTGAACACGAGCTAGATGAGAGCAGTGTCCTCATGAAACGTAAAACATCTACCCATATTAATTAGATCTAAATGTATAGCCTGTTAAATGGCTTCGTCAGGATAAACCTTAGTCATCCTTTATTGTTTGTATATTTAGAGGGTTTTTTCCTAGTTTATTGAAAAGAGCAGAGAACATCTTTGTATATACTATTTCATTAGTATTAATCTCTAAAATTGGCTGTTTTAAGGCTTTGCATTCAAAACACATTCCCGAAAACCATATACCAAGTCTTTTTTTTTTTTTGAGACAGAGTCTCACTGTGTTGCCCAGGCTGGAGTGCAGTGGCGTGATCTTAGCTCACTGCAGCCTCAGCCTCCCTGGTTCAAGCGATTTTCCTACCTCAGCCTCCTGAGTGCTGGGATTACAGGAATGCACCACCATGCCCAGATAATTTTTGTATTTTTAGAAGAGACAGGGTTTCACCATGTTGGTCAGGCTGCTCTGGAAATCCTGACTTCATGATCTGCCTACCTCGGAGAGAGGGTTTCACCATGTTGGCCAGGCTGGTCTCAAACTCTTGACCTCTAGTAATCCACCCACTTTGGCCTCCCAAAGTGCTGGGATTACAATTGTGAGCCACCGCACCTAGCCTACCCATTTAGATTCTTACTGACACTAATGAGAGTATCTGTCTTAATATATTACTTTCTGTAGCATTGACTGATTTTTAAAATAAATTTATTGATTTGTTTACTATCTTCTCTCTCCCCCAATTTTTTTTTTTTTTTAAGAGACAGGGTTTCACCTTGTTGGCTAGGCTGGTCTCGAACTCCTGACCTAAAGCAGTCCACCTGCCTCGGCTTCCCAAAGTGCTGGGATTACAGGCAGGAGCCACTGCGTCTGGCCCCCCATAATTTTTTATTATCAGTAAGAGTAAACCATTTTACATATTTATTGAGAATTTCAGTCCAAGCACTTTTCTTCTAAATGTATGCTCTGTTAAGAATATTAATTGCAAATAGTTGCAAGAAATAGCACCATTTTATCTTAGCTTTTAGGTTTGGTGGAGTTTTTTGTTGTTGTTCCGGTTCACTGCAACCTCCACTTCCCAAGTTCAAGCAATTATCCTACCTCAGCCTCCCAAGTAGCTGGGACTGGGAGCCGGCGCCTGTGCACCAGGTGCTGGTCTAATTTTGTATTTTTAGTAGAGCTGAGGTTTTGCCATGTTGGCCAGGCTGGTCTCAAAATCCTGACAAGTGACTGCCCACTTTGGCCTTCCAAAGTGCTGGGATTACAGGAGTAAGCCACCGCACCTGGCTTTTAGTTGTATTTGTATTTTACATTACAACTATAGAAGCCAAATTATCAGGAAGTTTGTTATAAGATCTTCAGTGGACTTTTTGGCCGAGCACAGTGGCTCACGCCTGTAATCCCAGCACTTTGGGAGGCCAAGGCGGGCGGATCACGAGGTCAAGAGATCGAGACCATCCTGGCCAACATACTGAAACCCAGTCTCTACTACAAATATAAAAAAATTAGCTGGGCGTGGTGGCGCAGGCCTGTAGTTCCAGCTACTCGGGAGGCTGAGGCAGGAGAATTACTTGAACCCGGGAGGCGGAGGTTGTGGTGAGCCGAGATCGCACCATTGCACTCCAGCCTGGTGCCTGGTGACGGACTGAGACTCTGTCTTAAAAAAAAAAAAAGATCTTCAACAAGAACCCCCTAGATTTGCAAAATGCTATACATACAGCTCTTTAATAAATTTATCCTTATTTTCAGTAGGTTCATAAAAATTCAGGACCAGAATTGAAAATTTGTTCAAATAAACAATATAGACTGGGCAAGGTGATTCTCACCTGTAATCCCAACACTTTGGGAGACCGAGGCAGGTGATCATGAAGTCAAGAGATTGAGACCATCCTGGCCAACATGGTGAAACCCCGTCTCTACTAAAAAATAGAAAAATTACCTGGGCGTGGGATTGTGTGCCTGTAGTCCCAGCTACTCAGGAAGCTGAGGCAAGAGAATCACTTGAACCGAGAGGTGAAGGATGCAGTGAGCAGAGATCGTGCCACTGCACTCCAGCCTGGGTGACAAAGCAAGACTGCATCTCAAAAAATATATGTATATGTGTGTATATATATGGAGAGAGAGAGAGAGAGAGAGAGCACGAGCACATGCACATGGACTTGGCACTGAATGTTTTTATTGTCTTATTATTTCCTCTGAATCTAACTTACCATTTTGTTTTTTCTTTTATGTTATTTATTTATTTGGGTTTTAAATTTTTAAATTTTTTAATTTTTGTTTTTGATGCGGAGTCTCACCCTGTCACCCAGGCTAGAGTGCAGTGGCTCAATCTTGGCAACCTCTGCCTCCTGGGTTCAAGGAGTTCTTCTGCCTCAGCCTGCCGAGTAGCTGGGATCACAGGTGCCCACCATCACATCAGGCAAATTTTTGTGTTTTTAGTAGAGACAGGGTTTTACCATGTTGGCCAAACTGGTCTCAAACTTCTGACCCTCAGGTGATCCACCTGCCTCAGCTTCCCAAAGTGCTAGGACTGCATGTGTGAGCCACAGAGCACAGCCTGTTTGTTTATTTTATAAATATGGGATCTTGCTCTATCCTCTTGACTGCACTGCCAGCTGTCATATCAGGTGACAGAGCAAGACCCTGTCTTTATAAAAGAAACAAAACATTAATAAATAACATATAAGAAAAAACAAAATGGTAAGTTGGATTCAGAGGAAATAATGAAAGACAATAAAAATATTGAATTCCGGCCGGGCGCGGTGGCTCAAGCCTGTAATCCCAGCACTTTGGGAGGCCAAGGCGGGTGGATCACGAGGTCAAGAGATCGAGACCATCCTGGTCAACATAGTGAAACCCCGTCTCTACTAAAAATACAAAAAATTAGCTGGGCATGGTGGCACGTGCCTGTAATCCCAGCTACTCAGGAGGCTGAGGCAGGAGAATTGCCTGAACCCAGGAGGCGGAGGTTGCGGTGAGCCGAGATCGTGCCATTGCACTCCAGCCTGGGTAACAAGAGCGAAACTCGTGTCTCAAAAAAAAAAAAAAAAAAAAAATTGAATGCCAACTGCGTGCTCTATATTTTTTATTTGAAAAAAATTTCAATTATTGTCCCAGATTTTTATGAACATAATGAAAATAAGGATAAATACGAAATATAAATAAAACTGGCCGGGCACTGTGGCTCACGCCTGTAATCCAAGCACTTTGGAGGCCAAGGCGGGAGGGTCACCTGAGGTCGGGAGTTCAAGACCAGGCTGACCAACATGGTGAAACCCCATCTTAAAAAAAAAGAAATATAAATAAAACTAAAATCTGACTAAAATCTGGCCAGATCATAGTTCCCTGCAGTCTCCAAGTCTTGGGCTCAAGTGATCCTCCCGCCTCAGCCTACCAACAGCTGAGACTACAGGCGTGTGCCAGCACACCCAACCTTTTTTTTTTTTTTTTTTTTTTTTTGAGACGGAGTTTCACTCTTGTTACCCAGGCTGGAGTGCAATGGCGCGATCTCGGCTCACCGCAACCTCCGCCTCGTGGGTTCAGGCAATTCTCCTGCCTCAGCCTCCTGAGTAGCTCGGATTACAGGCACGCGCCACAATGCCCAGCTACTTTTTTGTATTTTTAGTAGAGACGGGGTTTCACCATATTGACCAGGATGGTCTCGATCTCTTGACCTCGTGATCCACCCGCCTCAGCCTCCCAAAGTGCTGGGATTACAGGCTTGAGCCACCGCGCCCGGCTCCTTTTTTTTTTTTTTTGAGGCAGAATCTCACTCTATCGCCTAGGCTGGAATGCAGAGGTGAAATTTTGGCTCACTACAACCTCTGCCTCCCGAGTTCAAACGATTCTCCTGCCTCAGCCTCCCAATTAGCTGGGACTACAGGCATGCACCATCATGCCTGGCTAATTTCTGTATTTTTGGTGAGATGGGGTTTCACCATGTTGGCCAGGCTGGCCTTGAACTCCTGACCTAAGGTGATCCACCCAGCTTGGCCTCCCAGTGTGCTGGGATTACAGCATGAGCCACCATGCCCAGCCTAAAATTACTTTTTAAATTCACAATTCATTCAAACATGTTGATTAAACATTCTCTATACTGCTGATTTA